AACGGCAGCTGGGGCCTAGCACAGTAGTGCTGGCCTGTGATTCCCAGTGACTTGGGAGGCTGAGGCAGGAGGATCCCAAGTTCGAGGCCAGCCTCAGCCACTTAGTCTGTCTCAAATAAATAAAGAAACAGGACTGGGGAGGTGGTTCAGTGGTAAAGCGCCCTTGGGTTTCATCCCCCGCACTGCAAAGAAAAACACTAGGGGAGAAGAATAACTCCCATTGCCATTGGTAGAGAGGCACATCGCCTGGTGGATAAACACCCAGCCTTCCTGGGTTCAAATCCCGGCCCCACCCCTAGCTGGCTGTACAACTTTGGCCAACTTACTTAACCTCTCTGTGCCTCCATTCTCCCATCTGAAAATGGAGAGAGTCACCACACAGACCTCACAGAGTTAACTCTGAAAATCAAAGTGTACTCATTAGCTTGATCTGGGCGGCTGCACCACATGCACGGGTTTTAAAACATCACCTTGCACCTGATCAGTGGTTATGATTTTTATCTGTGCATTTAAAAAAAAAAAAGAAAATAGGCAGGAATACCGGGACAGCCCTTCACACATGCCGCCTGGTGCACAGCAATCGCCCTGTGAGTGAAATAAATAAAGGAAACGTCTGCAAAGCCAGTGTCCCTTTCAGGCAGCCCCCAGGGTACCTCTGGCCCAGCGGAGGCTGCCCCAGCCCTCTGTCTGCACCCCGCACGGGGGCACATGGGTGAAGGACTCCCCGTCCCTATCTGGGGACCCGCCTCAGCCGGGCAATGGAAGGCCAGTCCCACGCACCTGGAGGGAAAACACATTCCGCCACCAGGAACCGGGATCGCTGAAAGCTTTTGCTGGGAGGAGCCCGAGATTTTACCTTTGCCGGCCTGGGATCCCGCTGCCCACCTCCATGAACCCAAGGACAGATGGTGACAAAAGAAGTGGCGAATTTATTGGGCCTCTGCCATCAAGGGCTTTGGGGGAGTAACAGGTTGAAGATCGATAGGATGCAGGAGAGGGAGCAGCTCAGAAATGGCTTAGTGGGGAGGGGATTAGAGGGGACCGAGCGGGAGTGGGGGGGGGAACTGCCTGGCACCAGGAGGCCCACTTCCCAGGAGAGTCCGAGGAGGCTTTTAGACCCCCCGGGGCAGACTGGGGTCAGTCCCGGATAAAACTCCTAAGAAGCCCCAGTCCTGGCACCTGCACAGTTGGGAGGACTGGGAAGCACCCTGGGCGCTGTTTGAGGCGCGGGGCTGCTCCAGGGGAGTGCAACTGGGCATCTACCCCTGATCCTGGAGGCTGGCCTCCACTGAGGCTCGCTGTCTGCCTGGCGCAGGGATACGCCCTCACCCGAGGTATTAGTCTCCTGTTGCGGCTTTAACAAATGACCACAGCAGCCGTACAATTCTGTCCGGTGGAAGTCTGACCTGGGTCTCACCCATCCAAAGTCACGGTGTCAGCGGAGCTGTGTTCCCTCCCCAAGCTCTAGAGAGTCCGTGACCTGCTCTTCCAGAGGCCACCTGCATTCTTTGGCTTGTAGCCCCTGCTTTTTGGGACTCTGTGATTACATAGAGCCATCTGGATAATGCAGGATGACGGTCCATCACAAGATCCTCCATTTAAGCGCCTCTTCCAAGTCCCTTTTGCCATGTAAGGTAAGATTCAGATGCTCCAGTGATTAGTAGTTGTCTTTCTGTCTTTCTTTTCTTTTTTTTTTTTTTTTTGATTTGGCCTACTTGAATTGAGTGGTTTGGCCCTTGTGAGGCAGGTACCACTATCCCCGCCACCCCCCTCTATCTTTTAAAGACAAGGAAACTGAAGATCTGAAAGGTAACCAACTTATCCAAGTTCCTGCTCCCAGGAAAGTAGGGACTCTTCCTTCCTCTGGCCTTGAACCAGGGAAGATGAGCCCCTGGATCCAACTGTATCTGAAGCTACCTTCAACTTTTCTCTTCAATAGCTAACAAATTGCCTTTTCTGGCTCAAGTCAGTCAAGTTGGATTTCCTGTTGTATGCTGCCAAGAGAGGTCTGGTGGCCATGGGAGTCCTCTGGGAAAAGGACAAGGATCCATGTCCCTTTCCCAAAGGACAGGGGCTGCAGGTGGGTGTTGGGCCAGTTTGCTAATCAGGATCAGCAAACGTTTTCTGTAAAGGGCCTAGAGGATGGCAGAGACGGTGGCACATGCTTGTAATCCTCGATACTCAGGAGGCTGAGCCAGGAGGATCACAAACTAGAGGCCAGTCTGGGCGGCAAGACCCTGCCTCAAAATAAAAACCTTAAAAGGCTAGAGATGTGACTCAGTGGTAGAGCATTTGCCTAGCATGTGTGAGACCCTGAGTCTCTTCCCCAGTAATGCATAAAAACCGAATAGTCGAATTTTCAGCTTTGCAAGATCTACCCCCTCGACTACACTTCCGCATCAGTAGAGCAAGACCAGCCCCAGTCCGAATATAGAGGAATGGCAGGGCCGTGTTCCAATAAAACTTTATTGACAACAACCACCGCGAGCTGGCTTTCCAGGTAACATGAATGCAGTGTGGACGCCTCCACCAGGGCCCCCCATGTTTCCCAGGCCCCTCCTCTGTTAGAGCAGAGGCCTGGGCAGGTGAGGATGGGGTCAGGTGGGCATCTGTAAGAACAGCTCCACAGCAGACCCTAGAGACCGGGCCACACAGGCAGCGTTGGGGGTAAGGAATGGACACTCTGGGCGGCCGTGCAGAGGAGCCAGGTCAGAGGCACCACAGGACGGGAGGGCAGGGGCCACAGCTGGACATCGGGCTGCACCTGCAACATGGCCATCCACGTGCCTGGGGCCCAGGGGTGACTGGATCCGGCTCGCTGGTGGAAATGGTGCCTCTGGCCACTGGGCGCGGGCTGGACGGAGGACCAGGAGCAGAAGCAGGGGACAGGGATCAGCTGCCACCGCGGCCGGGAGCCACAGAGGAGAGGTGGGAGGTGGGTAGACTCGGGATCAATGTTCAAGGTCGAGCTGACAGGATCGTGCAGCGTGTCCACCCTGACCTGGGCCTCGCCTCCTGTCACCCTCTCTGGCGGCCCCTGCCTGCCCCGCCACCATGAACATAGCTGTCAAGATTTCTTTCTTTCTTTCTTTTTTTTTTTCTAAAAATGAAAAAAAAAAAAGCCAACAATCTATTAACTCATCAATACAGAGCCCTGCCAATCTGTCCGTCACCCGGTCCCCGTCGATAACTCCATCTCGGGGCTGCCAAGGCGGGAGAGAAGAGGGAAAATGAAATATTTATAATTTCTTAAGGGACGAGGCCCTTCCCCAAGGTGATGTTTTCAGGTCCAAGCACATTAAGGATTCCATCACAGGACAAGCTCCATGACTCCTGCTGTCATCTCAGCAGGGCAGGGACCCCACAGAGGGGAAAACCCTCAAGGACACCTCTGAGCCAGACTCTTTTATGTGGGAGCCTTGACTTTGTAGTCAGGCGTATAGATTTCCATCACTCATTGACTGTGTGGTCAAGGGCAAGTTGCTTAACCTCTCTGAGCCTCACTTACTTTCCCATCTGGGAAATGGAAACGGCAACCGGACCTACCTCATAAGGTCCTTATGGAGAAAACCAAGATGAGTGGGTAAGGCCCTGAGCACAGGGCACAGATGGAAGTCATTGGAACCATGTTTTCTAGGGGCCCATTTGATCTGGATTTTTTTTTTAAACTGGGCATTGAACCCAGGGGCACTTAACCACTAAGCTACATCCCAGCCCCTTTTATATGTTTTGAGACAAGGTCTCCCCAAGTTGCTCAGGGCCTCCCTAAGTTGCTAAGGCTGGCCTCAAATTTGCCATCCTCCTGCCTCAGCCTCCAGAGCCACTGGGATTCCAGGCTTGTGCCATCGTGACCTGGCTTGATCTGGATCCATGGGAAGGGCACACCAGGCAGGAGGAACAGCCTGAGCCAAGGCCCTACGGGAGGGAGGAGCGTCAAGACTGAGGACTGCAGAGCAGTATGAGGAAGGGAGGGGAGAGGGGAAACTGGTGGGTGGTTGCCCAACCACAGTGGACTCAGATCAGGCGCCCCAGGATGGTGGGTGGGAGGTGGGATTGGCACGGATTGGGATGATAAAAGAGAGACCCTGGCCCTGGCCACTCTTCACCTTCCAGAGGTGAAGTTGACCTGCAGACAGGCAGGAGTCTGTGGGTGAGCACAGACTCTCTCTCTGACCCCAGGGGTTGACATTAAGCTGGTTGTTCTCAGTCCACAGAGCAGGCTGAGTACCCCCTCTGCACTTCAGTACTATTTCTCTTTGTTGCTGTATCAGTCAGTTATTGCTGTAATGATGCTGCATAACAAACAACCTCCCAGTTCCAGGGACTTATGACAACAAATGTGCCTTTCACACGTGAATCTGCAGGTTGTCCATGGGGCAACTGATCCAGGCTGGTGCAGCCGGGTAGCTCGGATCCAGGCCTCCTGGAGGGTGCAGATCAGCTCTGAGGGGACCAGACGTCCCAGGCCATAATGCATCCCAATGCATCATAAAAGGGCTGAAGATCAAGCAAACCTCTCACAGATATTGAAAGCTCTGCTTCTGTCCCACCCTTTAACATCCCATCTGCCAAAATGAGTCAACTGGCCAGAATCAGGGGCCAGGGAAGTGCCCGCCACCATGTTGACAGAGGGGAGGAGCATAAATCTATAACAAGGGAGGAGTGAAGGGTTGGGGACCAGGAGCAATGATGCAGTCACCCCACTCCTCTTACTTGAGTTCCCCCCCCACAGGCCCCTAGTTATGTATTTCAGGTAGAGAGATGGGTGATAGGTAAAAGATTGATAGGAGGTTGAAAATAATTGATACATGAAAGATACTTAAAATTTAAGTAGTATGTTCTATTTTATTATTTACAGTAAAACAGTGTTTTAAATAAACCATTGAGGGGGCTGGGGATGTGGCTCAAGTGGTAGCGTGCTCGCCTGGCATGCGTGCGGCCCGGTTTTGATCCTCAGCACCACGTACAAACAAAGATGTTGTGTCCCCCGAAAACTAAAAAATAAATATTAAAAAAAAAATAAAAATAAAAAATAAACCATTGAGGCCAAGTTATATTCAACGCAAGGATGCACCCGTTTTAAGTGCGTAATTCGGTCAGTTTTGATAAATGGATACCTCCACGTCATCTGCACAACCCAGGGACACACCCTTCCCGTCACCCGAGGAAAACGCGTCCTGGTTTCTCTGTGGGGCCGTCGCCGCCACCCTGCCTGCCCACTCCTTCCCACCCCGAGGTTCAGTTTTGCCGTTTCCACTGGCCTGTTAAAGGACGTCCCTGTGCACGCTCTTGTTTGTGGCTTCTTTCCCTTAGCATGAGATTTGTCTGACAGTCCCCGTGGGCCACCGAGGTGGGAGCTTGTCCTTCTCACGCCACCATCACCCGGGACTTCGTTTCCCAACTGACACCAGTGGTGCGACTTCCCACGTTGGTCCCTTTCTCACAGGCCACATTCCACGTTCCTCCTGACGCTCCTGGGGTCTCCTTCCCTGGTGGGATCACACACACACCCCTTCACCTAACCAGGGACAGTGCTCTGCCTGCTCGTCAATACACACAACACTGCCACAACCCTGTGCGCGTATGCTATGTGTCTGCGACGTGGCTCCTCCGTGTCGATGCCCAGGAATTGCATCTCTGGCTGACACTGAATGCAAATGTCTAACCTCATAACCTGCTGCCTCCCTGCGCCCACACAGCCCCAGCAGTACACTGCAGGACTGTGACCTCCCCACAGCCTCTCCCCTGATGGTCCCCAACGTCCTGATTCTCACACATGAGATAGACCTGGGATAAACAGCAAATCGTTCGGTTTTCACATGCATTTCTTGGATTACGGATGGTTCCGTCCACTCTCATCTAGACTGTCCATTACAGTTGCAAGTAGGAGGCTTTCCTTTATTATTCTTTTGTTGTTTTTTTTTTTTTCTTTTGTGTTCTAGAACAGCTCATGTAATCCAAGAATTATCTGCTTCTTAACATTTACAGAACTCACCTATAACACCGTCAGGGCCTGGTGCTTTTTCTGTGGAGGGGGGGTGGGCACCATCTCCCCCGACCCCTGCAGTGTGGGGTCTCTGGAGAAGCTCTGCTGTCTCTGATGCGACCTGTTGGATTCGCCTGAGCCCAAGAAAATATGCTGTTACCAGGTGACTGAAGAAGGGACGAGGCACAGATATGTAAGTGCAGAGAGGCCTCCGGGTGTGCAGTGTGGACAGCAGGCTTAGTTCAAGGGACAAGGGACTCAGGAGAGCAAACAGGGGTGACACGCTGAAGCTGCAGGTCCTGTGCCCTGTGCCAGTTATGCCTGTCGGGGTACATTGTCAACGTGTTCCCTGCCCAGTGCCTGGCTGTTGTGGTGCAGGTATGATCCTGCGTGTCCACAGGGGCACACAGCTGCCCATCACTCCCGCCAGTCCTGGTTGCAGGAGCTCTGCATGGTGTGTGTTCCCATCTTACAATCGATTATCACACATCATTTGCATAATCTGAAGCGCACACTGTGCTCAGTGCTTATTGTGTTATTTGGTAAAGATCACGCACAGGGTCTGGGTGCCTCTGTGTGCTGGGGGTGGGGGACATTACCTAGTGTGCCTGTGATGACACAGGCGATCTCATTACATGCATTTATTTGTTAAACAAAATCCACACACCAATTGTGTTTGTGTGCACACGCATGTGTGTGTGTGTGTGCGTGTGTGCGTTGACACGGCCGTGTCTGTTTCCACGACACCAGGTACCGTGCGTTTTCATGTTGGTGTCTGTCTTGTGGCACCCAGGAAGCCTCCCCTGCCCCCTCCCCAAGCCTGTCTGTAAAGATACTGTCGTTGTGTGGCTGTGTGTGTGTGTGTGTGTGTGTGTGTGTGTGTGTTTGCCTTTTAGTTTGCTCACTGTTCTGTGACAACAGAATGCTCTCCCGCTTACCTTCCCTTGCACATTGAGATCCTTTGGGGATATCAAGGGCAAGCCAGAGAAGGGTTACCTGGAGAAAAGGGTTGCTAAGCAACCAAACACCCACCACCCCCGAGCACCACCAACCCAAAACTCCGTTCCAGGCCTGCAACCAGATTAGCATATTAATGAGGCTGTAATTTCCCCCCGAATTGTCTGCGCCGCACACTCACCCACAACACGCTGGCCCAGGAGTTTCCTATGCAAATAAACTGGTTTTACAGACTGCGACTTAATTAACTCATCAAGTTCATCCTCCTAACAGAAAAGGCAGACGAACTACAGATTAATGAACCTGTGTTTGCCGGCGCCTCTCCCTCCCTCGCCGCAGCCAGCCGCCTCTCTCCCTTTATGGCCCGTTCCTCGCCTGCTCCGGCCCAACCTGCTTCCCTCCTGGAGCCCATCGGGGGGTCCCTTCCACCTCCCTGCACACCCGCCCGGCCCCGCCCTCCCCCGGCCCCTTCCCCAGCCCCCAGGTCCCCGCCCCCGGCCACTCGGGCTCCGCGGGCATTGTCCCCGCCCCGCCCCGCAGGCGGCTGGGGAAGCGGAGCCCTGGAAATGGGGCGCGGTTCCTTTAACGCGAGCCGAGCGCGCAGGCTTTCTTTTTGACACGCGGCGCCGGCTCCAGCCCCAGCCCCGAGATTCAATCAGCGGAGCGACTCGGGGACGGAGGCGCCCTCCCTCCTGCGTGCTAATTAGAAACGCCAGTCCCCGGGCCGCCCGCGCTCGTCAACTTCCTCCGCGTCCTGATGGAAGACGCGCACCCAGGAGGGGGCCCG